TGACTGCTCAGCCGTTCACAACGAAACTTTGTGGGTGGCGGCTTCCCATAAGATAGGTGCGGTTATGCAGTGTGGTATTACAAAGATCTGATTTGTCGAATTACATAGTAAAACTGCTTATCACGTTACTTTCTTAGACCGAGCACTCAGAAGAGTAAGCTTACTATCTTCAGTGATCGATTTTTCTTCATATTATTCCTTATATTCGCGACAGTCGCTTTGTAAGTGTTTGTTAGTGTTATCAAACCCAATCTAATGTGCGCGCGTGGATTTAAAATAACTTGAAATTGGACACTCCTCTAAAAATGTTGGCAGAAAACATATATCTTCTTGTTCGCTTAAGGTTTGTATCCCGGAATTTAAAAAAATTGATGCACTTTCCCTTGATCCCCTTTCGTCCATCAACTCAAAATTTTGTAATTTAGTATTTATCACCTCGTTAATAGTGTCATTGTAGATGATCAAATATAAATTAGGTTTTGTACCATGGAGAGTTATTAACATATCACTGAACGAAATATATAGTTATTTCAGTAAAACAAATACTGGTTTTCGTTGCCTGTCCTTCTTTGCTATATTTTCATGGGCGATCTGATAACTTTCGGATAGTCAACTGTATGGCGTATCGTGGCATAAAAAGGTGAACATCCAGACTATTGTTCAGATAATTAGTCTTTTTAATGCTTAGCAAAAAACCTGGTAAAATAATGTGAAAAATTAAAACATTATTAGTTGGCATCCAAAATAGTCAGCATTGTTTTGCGCATGCTAGCACATAACTATGCTCGCATATTTCTCATAGTTTATCGCATACTTTACTCAAACCTAATTCATGCCCAAATTTGATTTTTTTTATTAGTACCCTCTCCGTTCTTCTGTTTTCATATCTTTGTGTTTCTCATTTCTTGTTTTCCTCTTCTCGTTCCTTTCTTCAGTTGTATCTCTGTAACCGGCGAAAAAGGGGAGATCAGCATAGACATCGAGGACGCCTGTCCTCCGGGTTACTCCAAGTGCAGGGACGGCAGTTGCCGGCGAACGCACCAATTTTGCGACGGGAAGGCCGACTGCCCTGACAGATCGGATGAATATCCTGACTTCTGCCAAGGTTTATTCCTAATGACTGTTATGCTCTGAACTCCAGTTGCAGCACTTGGCCTCACCGACGAAACATAAAACCTACTTATTGCTACTACTTTAATCAGTTAGGATACTTCACATAAGGCTGTAAGACAGATTTAATGGAGCGTGCGTCTTTACGAGCACATTTGTAAATGTCGCTCGGAAGAACCTTGCCGCATAAGCAGCCTGAATATTTTCCTTAATGGCAAAGAAGTTTCACTGTACTCCCAACTTAGGTACTAGCTGAAAGTCCAGACACGTGTTTCGCCTATGTTTCTGCTACTGTATGATTCAGATATTGATTTATATTTCGGGTCTTATCCAAAAAAGTCATGTCTCAGTAACTTAACTCTATGTCATGCACGTTATAACTTGTGAAATTATTCCCTTGATTTTCCTTAATATCTGATTCCTGCATAGATGCAAACCAACTCAATAGAATGAATACATCAAATCCATTTCGGTTAGAAATGCCTATGTGCTCCCCCCTCCACCCCTCCCACGCAATAAAAGCGGCCGCCTGCAAACATTCTAGAGAAGATACAAATATTCCCGAGTCCTAAATCTAAACTAACCCTTATCCTTGATTCCCTGAAATTAAGTACAAATTTGCCTATATTTTGAATGTTTTTTTGTTGGGGAAGCCTATAGTCTATCTCCTGCATTTCTAATACCTGTTTTATGGAAAATTGCAATTTCCTTAGACGTTTGCTTGCAGGAGGATAGCATATTTTTTATTGTACAATATTGCACTGTATGTTTTGGGGAGAGCATAGCCTCGGAATTGCAAGTCATAAGAATAACAATTTCACCGCCTTGAGAAGTATCACAGTTGCAAGCTCTTCGCAAACCATAATACGCATCTCCTATATCTGCAAAAATTGAATAAGGCGAGATACCC